TCAAGAATTATAATTGATAACTCCTGAAAATTGAAATTATGTAAATGTTTCTTGGATTATTAATATTGAAGTTTGCTTTATTAATGCCATAAATATAACTGAACCTTAAGAGACTAAAATTATTTTCCATGGTAATGTGATGGATTGGTTTGGGCTTGGATGACATACAGCCCCCAAGACTTGTGCATCATATATATGGTTTTGCGTGCCTTTGTAGGCATCTCACATGGTCATGATATGTAGCCCTTTGGCATGACCAAAACCATCGGAGACTCAATCTACTAATTAAAGCATTCATGAAACAATACTTTTTTTTACTTTCTTTTATTTTCTTTTTCAGTTAAAGTCATATTATGATTGAAAAAGAAATTTTTATAGAATGTCAAATTAGTGATAGCCTCACTGGTTTCCTAAACATCAGTAAAGACAATTATTGTATATAAAATTATGACTTAAATATACTTTTGGTTTTATATTTTTCACGGTTTTTTTTAATTCCTTTAAATTTTTTTATCATTTAATTTTTTTTAAACTCAACACTCTTAGTTCTGATAACTACTAAATGGTGATTTAGTTATGGAAATTTTTTTATTTGTCAATTATTCAGGTGGCTGCATCAGTGGGTGAAAGTAAAATATTTAAATTATGCAAATACAAGGACCAAAATCATAAAATGAAATTTAAAGAAACCAAAATACTACTTAAAAATTATCTTTTTTCTCTGCAGATTTTTCTTTTGCAGAAATTTCTTACAATTTTACCCATGAATTTCAGTATTTTTTATAATTTTTTAGTTAAAAAATAAGAAATAAAACTATATTTAAGTTAAAAAATTATTTGAACTCCCTTTTACAATGAATATTATTACAATAGCGTAAATTGAAGGAAGTTTTATTTAAATCATTCTTGTGGAAGGTTGTTAATTTTCTGAATATTGATTATGACCAACAAGCTGCAAGTAGGGTAAAATGGAGAAGCTTTTCTGAGATGGTTAATTCTATGACTGGCTTTGGACAATATGAAAACCCTTTGGTAGAAAATCTTGGTTATTTTGATTCTCCGTTGACCCCATACTCATATATGTTTCACCCTAATACAGAGGACGACATTCATTGACACTTTCTTAATTTTTGAGTGGGAATGGTTCTCAACAATACAATCGAATTCACTCATTCACACCACAACGAAACGATCACTTCAACTTCATTATTTAACAAGCATTGATACTTAATTAGCAACAAGGGTTTTAGTTATCGATTGGATTACTAGATAATATAAAACCGGGAATTAATAAATAAGAACAGATGCACTGTGTGCAATGCGCAAAATTTAATACTCCAACGTATAACGCAATCCGTTTGAATTAAATAAGTGTTACATCTTTATCTTATCCCTATTGATGAATGCCTGTTTTCATTTCTTCTTATTATTTAAATAAGATGTCATTTATAATCTAAAATATAACAAAAATATTACAACTAAGCAGCATATTACTTGGACGATGAAAAACAAATATATCTTACGAACTATGTTTCTATTAAGGCCCTCTCAATTTAATTAAAGAAAAAAAATCATATTAAATTCTAGCATTCAAATTAAATCATGATATGTAAATTAATGTCTTCTAAACATTTTAGAATATATATAGACTTGATGATAAGAATAAGAAGATTGAATCTAAGATTTTACTTTTTAATAAACAACTGTACCAGTGACGATTACGCAACGTCCATTCTGATGTGTATCATGTTTGAGAGCTCTCAATTCACTTGAAGCCCCGTAACCAATTGGAGGCATCTTAGCAAGAATACAAATTAGGTATAATTTTTAAGTTTTTTTAATTAAATTTTATAATTTTATTTTGATAAATATTAATATCGAAGGGTGATATAATGTAGTATGATTTTTTAGGAGGATAGTGTAATTTACTCAATAATAAAAAATGTTAAAGAAAAGCACATTTGGCTCTTACGTATGCTATTACTGATTCCTGTCAAAATGAGTGATAAACAATAACAACTTTTTTAGAGTAAGATGAATCTAATTTAAAATTTGTGAATAGAGAAAGTAAATATTAAAAATATGTTTGACTAGTGTTGGATTTTAACCAGAAAAAAGAGAGGACAAATATTTTAATGATAATAATAACTTCTAATTTTATATTTTTTTAAAATAAAAAAATTAAATATTATATAGTTACTTTAATTTAAAAATAAAATATTTATCCTCCCCTCCTTTTATATCCCAATTACGTACTGAATATACCTTAAGATAATTTTACTTGCTTATTATTATATAAGTGACTCTCTACTTGTCCTAGCCTGAAGATAAGAGTAACCTTTGAATATTAGGGTATCCTTTTAATATTGCTGTTTTGAAAGTGTTTTCTCATGGAATTAACAACACTTTAAAACACTATTATTCTTTTCTCGAGCTTGTTAGTGTAATCTCGTCCAAATTCTTATATTTATTATACATACAAATCGACAGGGCCTTTATTTATGTTCTATGAGAAAAGTATATAAGACGGAATCGCATTAGGAAAATTTCAGTTTCGAGATACTTGTTTTTAACGTTTGCAGAAACTTGATTAACTTAATTGTTTAGGATATTAAGCTTAATTCAGTATTAAAAGAGAGGTAAAAGAAGAAATGTAGAAGTGACATTAGAGCATGATTATCCAATTTTGTAGCGTTACTTAGAATGCGGCACTCGGTTTTGTTTTTCGTGGATGCCAAGTGATGGGGGCTGAATTGTCAGGTTTGGCAGTGTTGACAAGGTCGTTAAAATTGTATGCAAATGCGAAGCATTTTCATTGACTTTGACAAGATGATGACACGTGGAATGGCCCCCACATAACCTACTCCCTTGTTGGCGGAATTGTCTTCATTTGGCACCCCGTTTGAAAGGTATTCGCTATTCGCTAATCACCGCGGTTTTCACTTTTCTCATTTTTCATTTCGAGCGCACACAATATTTGAGTCCAAATTACTTGGAAGATACCAACCTCGTTCATTATTTTACGACCAAAAATTATTAGAAAGGACAATACATTAATTCTTCCATTTGTGTGATTATCTTCTCATTTTATTACTAATCATCTCAAGCTTTACCCCCAAACCACTTTCTGCCCACGGAATGAACCCTCAAACAACACATCTTGGTGTTTAATTTTATTCTAATTTTTTATTATCTAAACTTGGTGTAATTAACAAGGTTATCCACTTAATTGAGTTTAATTCTATGTTAATTTTTATATTTACAATTGGCCACAGAGATCTATTTTGAAAATTGTCATCAGTTTACCATTCAAACTTATATGTTCTTATGACTTTTCTGTAGTTCCCACTCCGACAATAATGAATAAGGGGGAGAAGCTAGAATAGAAGTTTCTTTCGGAGCTGCAAAGATTTATAATTTTTTTCTTTTAGGCGATGGAAATCCCCATTTTTTACACTACAAACCAAAAAAGTCAAATGCATAGCAACGTGAGTCTTGTGCTGAAGTAAATTTATTTATCCAAGTCTGATATAAAAAGGTTAAAAAATTTATAAATATAAAAATTTATTATAATTTATCCACTGTAGAGAATGTAGATATCTCTTTTCAGAAACAGACAATTCTCCCAAAAGTTTTGAATTTTCTGAATCATATTTTTGCCTTTTTTTTTGTTAATTTGGTCTATAACATTTTCATTCCAATTTCCCTTCAGTAGCATTCTCAGAAGAAAACCCCGTATGTTAGGCCTATTATAAGTCCTTGTGTTAGTCGTTGATATTGATATGCATATCCCTCCAATTTATTTGTTTAGATGTTGCTTTGTCATTTCATAAACAAGTTGAATTATTTTATACTTGAGCTACATCTTCTAGAAATCAATCCAACTAAGGTTGCAAGCAGACCAACCAAGTATTTTATTTTCAATATCCGAAGAACAAACACGCAGAGAAAAAAAATTAAAAGTACACCTACTAGCTTTACACCCTTTCCCCCCACCAAAAGAAATAGTACAACTACACACACGTCATGGACATAATTACCCTCTGAATAATCACTGGGGAATGGGAGATATTTCCCTTTTTGTACTTCTATGTGTAGCAAACTGGTTCTTTTGTATCTCCTCATTCTGTCTTTTCATTGCATTATTGAAGTTTAATTTAGACTTGTACTAGAAACCCTTGCTCAATAGAGAAGAGTTGATGGCGCATATCCAAACAACAATTTGTGTTAGAGATATTAAGGTCAATGAAAACCCAACTAAACGAGGAAGAAAAGGGGTTTCAATTAATAGAGCAATGTTAAATTATGAAATTCTTTTGGTTCCGTGCAGCAGTGCAAGACTTTATTCCAATTAGAAAATGAAAGGCAATATTCTTGAAGGTGCTTCAGAATTGAAAAGGTTTCAAATATGACAAGCCAAAGTTTCTTTTCCAAATTTGTCACCATAAATGCATGAAAGTCAATCAGGGTTAGTTATGTCATTCTCCATTAACCAACATCTTAGACTTGGGATACTCGGTTCCCCATCTATCAGATAATATTAAACAAATTGTTCATATCTTTGGCAATTTCTTGCTTGCCAAACAACTACAACCCCTTAATATTTCTATATATATATGTAATACAAGAAGAATTCCATAGCATATAGGACCTAGACAACTAATCAAAAAGAAATTAGAGGAAAAATTCAACATAGGGCTGATATAAAAAGGAGCCGAAAACCTCTTTTCTCTCTGAGCAGTTGAAGAATTTGAATATTGGCTCTCTACCTTTCCCTTTGAAAGGATCTTAAACCTCATTTACATTTCCATTTCCACGACCCTATCACTCTTCCCACCTAATACGTACATATTCTCACCAAGTTTTCAAGCATCCTCGTGTATATATCTCTATACAAACACTTGAGGAGCATAGTAGCTATGAGATTGTAGACTGCTATATATCCTAGAAAACCATAACTCAAGTTCAATTTTCCCCCTTGATCAACAACAATGACCATTATGAAAAGCATATGGAAATTCATGTTCCCCGGTTGTTATAAGGGTGAGTATCCCTCACCCAAGCCCAAGAAAGTGGTTGCTACAAAGCCAAGTTCTTCTCACAGGATTTCTGTGACTGATTTGAGTTATCCAAGCACGACTTTCTCAGAGGATCTCTCCATTTCTCTAGCAGGATCTAACCTGCATGTTTTTACACTTGCTGAGCTCAAGATTATCACCCAGCATTTCTCTTCAAGTAATTTTCTAGGAGAAGGTGGGTTCGGACCAGTGCATAAGGGGTTCATTGATGACAAGCTTAGGCATGGTCTCAAGGCTCAGCCCGTGGCTGTTAAGCTCTTGGACTTGGATGGCTCGCAGGGCCATAAAGAGTGGTTGGTACGTACTTTTTTTTTCATCCCCATAAATCATTTTCAAATGTTTTTTTTCCAATAAAATTTATTTTACTGATAAAAAGTTAAATATATACTCTGTGCATGTTTGAAAATTTAATAAAATCATATTAAATCACGTTTCAAAGAAAAAGTTAAAACTTAAAATTTGTAGTGTTGAAATAAATCCATATTTGAGTTTATTTGACGTAGAACTAAATATGCTGTAAGTTATTTATTAAAGAGTGTGTTAAGTTATATTTAAATAAATAAATTTGTTTATTATTTATTTGATAAATTCTTATTAAATGAAATTTTATGAAAAAAATTACGTGACTTATTAAATAAACTAAAATCAACTTGTAGGAAAGTCATAAGTCATTTTTGTAAAATTAAATAAGTTCTTTTAAACGTAAGCACTTTTAATTTGAGTTCTAAGTTCTAACAGTCTTTAATTGTTTTCTATCTGATGGTTACGTACGACAGACTGAAGTTGTTTTTCTGGGGCAACTAAGGCATCCACACCTTGTGAAGCTGATAGGATACTGCTGTGAAGAAGAACACAGGCTTCTGGTGTATGAATATTTACCAAGAGGAAGCCTAGAAAATCATTTATTTAGAAGTAAGATTTCTGTTATTATAAACAACCATGATTTTTCTTTCAATCAGTTTGTTTAGACCATGAAAACTAACCTATTCTATAATATTGTGGCTATTCCAGGATTCTCGGCATCATTAGCATGGTCAACAAGAATGAAAATTGCTGTTGGAGCTGCAAAGTGTCTAGCCTTTCTTCATGAAGCAGAAAAACCAGTCATCTATAGAGACTTCAAAGCTTCCAACATCTTGTTAGATTCTGTATGTATCCCTTTCTCCCTCCAATGCTCCACTAAAACTTCCTTTCTCAATTATACATAAAGGTTTACTGTTTCACGTCACCTTTATGTGTATATTTCATTCAACATTTTACAAGGAGTAGTGTAAAATAGTTTACAATAAAGTGAGATAAATATTTTATTAATTTACACTCACTCTTATTTAATATTCTTCCAGGATTACCGTGCAAAACTCTCTGATTTAGGGTTGGCAAAAGACGGTCCCGAAGGAGATGACACCCACGTTTCAACACGAGTTATGGGCACTCACGGCTACGCAGCCCCAGAATATGTCATGACAGGCATGTTTATTATTTTAAATTTCTAATCATTAATATTTTTTTCGTCATGTAAAAAATTTATTTATTATATTTTTAACCAAAATTCCAGTTAATAATAAGAATAATAATATAATCCATGATTAGCAACTAGTCAGCATCTTGAAATAGAATTCTTGTAGCTTACTAAAATTTAATAATGTGTATAGGTCACTTGACAGCAATGAGTGACGTGTATAGTTTTGGAGTAGTCTTGTTGGAGCTGCTAACAGGAAGAAGGTCAGTGGACAAGAATCGCCCTCCAAGGGAACAGAACCTAGTGGAATGGGCAAGGCCAATGTTAAATGATGGTAGGAAAGTTAGCAGAATAATGGATCCAAGACTTGAAGGCCAATATTCTGAGATGGGGTCCAAAAAAGCAGCTGCATTGGCCTATCAATGCCTCAGCCATAGGCCCAGAAGCAGACCCACAATGAGCACAGTGGTTAAGACACTAGAACCCCTCCAAGATTTTGACGACATTCCAATTGGAACCTTCGTTTACACAGCTCCACCGGATAATGAAGCGCACAGAGATGCAAAGGAATTTGAAGCACCTAAGAGGAGGGAAAATGGTCATCACAGGAATGGCCACAGGCATCACCCACTTAAATCCCCCAAGTCTCCAAGACCACAATCACAGCATGATCATAGACACCGAAATGGAAGAGGAAGTGGATCAAATTCTCCTCCATCAAATAAAAAAAGGCATGCAAATGTAGCTTAATATGACACAAATTATACCGTACATACATATATAGAGATATTTGTCCCCCAAAATTGTTTAGTTTTATATAGTGAAACAACTAGTAGGCCCCGTGTTATGAGCCTTGTATCATGCCAAGAAAAAACAAACATACAAGAAAGGGAGAGTGCATGAGTTAATTCATTTTTTGTTTTATTATTTTCTTCAATTAAAGGAGGGTTATTAGGATGTTAATTATTTTAAATTGTGTATATGGGTTTTAATTACTTCGGGATGAATCAAAAGACTGGTTCAATAAATGGACAATTACCAACTACGATTTGTTGAACTGATTTAAAGATCTTTCAACAACAGGGATTACAGCTCAGAGATTTGACCAAACAACACGTAATAGTGAACGGTGAGTAACATCCCACTACGTAAGCTAATTTTAAAGAATAGTTATGAGGGTGGAGACAGCAAAGAAAACCACCCTTGTAAATATACATATGCGCACTTGATGAACGAATAAATAACTAAGCCAGTTATTATTATTATCTATTTCGTCAAAGGAAAGATAATCATTACAAATGACGAGGATTTGATTAAGGAGAGAACTAACTTTAATTAAAAAAAGTTTATGTCCTGCTTTAGGGCAAACAAAAGTAAGGGAAAACACCAGCAATGTTAATTTAGGGACTCCAAAGAATTTGACCATGGGTTTCATAATGCTCTACTGAAAAACGAAAACGTTTGCACCGTGCTTTGTAGATTCTATACATGAAACCGTCCAACAGATGTGAAAGTGTCAATGGCTGAAATTATATATATATATATATATATATATATATATATATATATTGTATGTGATTTAAATTTATATATAAAAATTTTCGCGTTATGAGTATTATGATTTTTTGTCACGTGGATTTTAACTTTACTATTTGATAATAATTGACAAACACTTTAATTGTATTATTAACATTTCTTAAAGTTAAAGACCATGATTTATCATATTTATTTAATTAATTTCTTTCTTAAATACTTCTTAAAAAGTCTTACTACGACGTGTATTTAAGTCACTGATTAAAACAATGATAAAATATTCTATTCACCGTATCACCTTATTACTATAAAACTTAGCAAACTTTTAATACAATTGGATATTTTCTTTTGTAAAGAAAATCTCGTGACATTATTATAAAATAATAAAGCTTCAAATATCATATTCGCATTTTAAGTGATTTGTAAGTTTTATGTTTTTTTTATTTAGTTTGACGCGTTCTTTCTTCTATGGGAGAAAATTCACAAATTACCAACTATACTTATTTTGTAATGATGAACGAAAAACCTTGCACTCCGTTCCATAGAAATAAAATTTTATATAAAAACAAATTTTCTGAAATTAGATAATTATCGTCTACATTAATTAGTTATAAAACTCTTGAATAAGTATAATCAATATAACCCTGATGGGTTCCTGCAATTACGGCAAATCAGTCCTAAAACAATAAATCCTATAATATTATATATATAAACAACAGGCTACCCTATAGATGTGTCTCAATCTTTAATATTCCCTTATCACTCAGTTTCCTTTGTAAGTCATGGCTGCCTCTTCTCTTAGTTCAAAAGACAAATCAAAACGGAACAAGCAGCTGAAAAATCAAATTACAAAATCGACAATTAAACATTACCTAACTATATTGGTTGAGGGAACAATGATAAATTTTCTTTACTTAGATGTGGGGTGTGTTACTAAGCTTATTAAGCTTAGTATATTAAGCTCATTAAAAGTTTATTAAGCTTTTGCTTTGTTGATCATTAAAAAAAAATTATATATATGTTGCTTTTTGGCTCTAGTAACATATTAGTGTCATCATTAATTTGATTTGTATGCATATGCAAGTATTTTCATTATCATAAGAAAGAAACGTTACAAAAGAAGTTAAATAATTACACAAAAACTTACGAAAAATGAAGAATAAGTACGACTCATTGATTAAGATTTGTTATTACTACCACATATACCCATATGTAAAGTCAATTAAAAAAAAAGTAAAAATATAATTAACTCAATTATAAGTGTAAGTCCATAACATTAAAATAAAACAAAGAAAGTAAAAGTATGAATACCAATTTCAACGTCAATGGGCTTGCTTAAAGCACAACCAGAAGACAATAATCATAGGCAATACCTTTGGACATTTTACAACTGTTTATAACACATGTAGCAAGGCATATTGGGTAAAATATTATAGAAGCATGTAAGTTGAGGTGCCATGTTATTCACATTTGGCAGCACACTTGAGTTTACAACTCCAATAGTTTAAATCTCTTTCTTTGTCATAACTATATATTCTATCCGAGTAAGTCGTTACTCTATGCCAGTATTTTGTGTATACGTTCATTTTGGTGATGCTTCAAGTATAATAAACATTCTCAATTTATGGGCGTAGATCAAAGCATGTGACAAATGTGTGGATCATGCGCTTACAGCATTTTCTACCATGTTAAGCTGACTTCTTTCTTTGTTAATAATAAGGTATCTACCATTTTATACTTATGAAGGACAATAATCTGACTGTGCATTGTTAGTTTTAGTTTCTTACAAAAATAAATTATATAATCTAATAAGGACATGATTGTTTTAGTTTAGAATCATAATAATTTAAGAAAAATTGATATTAATTATGTAGAAGTCTAAAGATAAAGAATATAATCTAACAAAATAAAGGAATCGGATTAACCAGATTATGATTAATCCATTGCAGAATAAGTTTACGTAGATTTAAACTGATTAATTATAAAGTCCATTAAAGAAAATATAATCTAATAAAATCAAATAATTTAACTTTTGTTAATTTAGAAATCGATCACTTAATTATATGTCACAACCAGGCGGTCGCAACGTTATTACGAAAAACGTTTTAAAAAATATTAGAGGAGTCGCCACCAAAGTTTATTTAAAAAAAAAACCTTGGAAAAACTTAAAATTAATACGATTTTTGAAACTAAAAATGAGTTCGGGAGTCATTTAAGTGTAGGAAGGTATTAGCACCCTACAACGTCCATTTAAAAAACGGTTACCTAAAATTAATTGTGCAAATTCATTCTAATTTTAAAAAATATTTATTTAACCCCTAAACATTAATTATTTTTATTTTAGAAGAAGAAATATTATTTATTGAGATATTACTTGGATTATTTTTAAAAATTATTTTTGACTTGACGGGTTCGGTTCCTGCTCCTACGTATCCCCGGGTGCAATGAGGAACTCAAGGTCACGTAATTTTATCTAAAAAGTTATGAGTTGGTTAATTAAAATTAATTTTAGTAAAGAAAATTTATTTTGAGATTAAAATTATTTTTATAAAATTATAATGTTTAGGATACAAGATAACACTATTATACATCTACCCTACGAGAAACAATACAGAAAGTGAAGGAAGATCACACAACTATATTGCAAATCGTTAAGAAATATTTTATTCGTAAATGAAGTATTTAAATTTTAATTTTGATTATGATTAATATTGAAAGAAATTTAAGATAGCATAAGTTATACGTAAACCTCTTATAATTTATTAGACTATCGAAGGTAATGTAAATTACACATCGATATTATAGAAATTTATAAAATGAAGAAATGATAGTAATTTAATTTATCAAAATTTGAAATATAACTTAAGAAAATTTAAAATATGAAATTAATTCTATTTTAATAAAAAATAATTTTATTTGAATTGATTAAAAAAGATACTCATTTAATAAAACCATTAAAAATTTCATTTGATAGATTTATATTATATAAAACCTAAGGTAACGTTGGTACACATAGATTTTGACAATTTATAACGCATAAAAGTAGAGTCGCTACACATTAGCATTATAAATTGTTTCTTAATAAAATAATTTAGATTTAAATTAGTTGATTGATTTGTAAGTTAGTATTTAGAAGAGAAATACATCTTGCATTATTATTAAAGTGGTTAACTAATTAATTAATGACAATATATGATAAATTAATATTGCATAAAATCTTGGTAACGTAGGTACACATAGACTTTATCAATTTATAATACATGATGATAGAGAAATTATACGTTAGTATTATAAATTGATACAATTATATTATTATTTATTAATTAATTATACAAAAATAAGTAATTTAGTATTCACAATATAAAATAAAGTAATTATAAATATAAAATTAAATCGCATTAATATGATACAAATATATAATAAATAAAATAAAAAATAACAATCCTAAAAAGTAAGATATAAATAATGAAATATTAAAAAAAATTATTGTTAATGTTAAAGTGAGATAAAAAAAAACAACTCAAATATGATATAGTAAAATAAACGGTATCAAGAGATATTAAATAAAAAAATAAAATAAATAAAATAAAATAATTTAAATAAGGCTAACATAAAAAAAATAAAAATAAATAATAAGAACTCATTCATTAAATAAATTAATAATTATTATAATAACAAATAATAATGATGATGAATAAATAAATAAAACTAAAATAAGAAATTATATGTTGAACTAAATAATAATAAATAAAAAAATTTGGACAAAAAATATTAAAAAATAAAAAAAAGGGTAAAATGGTCCCAAATTTAAAATTTTCAGATTTGAGAGGGAAGGACTTTAGGGTTAGGGGTGTGCTTTTCTCCATAAAAAACAAAAAAAGTTATGAAAGGGTGGATGTGAGGTTAATGGAGGCCATGGTTTTGAGTGGTGAAGGTTAGTGAGAGTAAAAGGAAGAGGAATAAGAAAAGGTAGAGAAAGAGTTTTTTTATGGTGATTTTTGTGTTTGTGGATGATGATAGATGGAGGAATGGGTGGAGAGGTGATGAGACATGAATGTTTGAAGTGGTAGGTTGAAACTTTTTTTTTTGTCATTTGGGATTGATTTGATATAGGAAATGTTTATTCAAAATATAAACATGTATAAAGAAGAAAAATGTATAAAATGCATGATGAAACTTACTTGATATTTTTGAAAAATTTTGTTTGCCTTTTGTTC